TACCGACACACTTCCTTCGCCGACATGTCCACGAATCAAAGCCGGTGCGCTGTGCTATGCGATCGTTCAGAGTGTGCGATCCGACAGGAGGCCCGGTCTCAAGTCCTGTCAGTATCGCGGCGAGCGGGACGGAGTGTGCGCGTGTCGTGAGGCGCGGGAGCCCGAGCGCACAGACTTACCATGTCGACGGACGCCGTCAACCGACAGGCGGTGCGCCGCCGCTGCCGCCAACCGTCGCGTCCGCTGTGCGTCGCGCCGCTCACCGCTGTGGCATCGGGCGTTATCGGCGGCGGCGGCGGCGGCGAGCTATGACGTCACAGCATCCTGCCGCTGGACCGCGTCCGGTGAACAGCGGCGGGGCGGTCTGTGACGTCACGTGACGGCGCTGTGGTGCTGAGGCAGCCAGGACGCGGGACTGTGACGGCTGCTGTGTGGTGGGCCGAGTTCGGTCCGGCCGGCGGTCTGTGGGCGTCAGCAGGGCGGCCCTCTGTCGACTCATCGTACACGGGGTGACCTGGGCGGGCAGAGCTGGAGGCGGCGTCAGGGGCCGGCCGACTGTCGCCACTGCACTGTTGACTGTCGACGGCTCCCCGACCGCGGTCATCCCGCGCGGCAACCGCTTCGTCAGCTACCTGGCGCTGCACTCGGATGTTATGGCATCCATGCGGCTCACTGGCAGCCCGAGCGTGTCCTTTTGGTACACCATTGCTACCATGTTACATGCTCTCGCAGGCACCGCATGCAAGCGCACACGCGCACTGGCGTTCAACGCTACTGAGGAAGCTCGTCAGATTTGCTGAGGTGTTGAATCACTCGAGCGTCGACGCTGCAGCAAGGAGTCGTCGTCGTGCACGGGCTCACACGGATTGTCGCGGCGACTCTGTGACCTTTGTGACCTCTGCTGGGCGACCTGATGACATGAGCCGCCCGTCTGCTGTTGCAGAACGAGCGTGTCGACCTGGATCAGGTCATAGATGACCTGCAGTGCGACAAGCGCGTGCTGGAGGCACGGCTTCAGGCGAGCCAGCGCGCGCCGCCAGCCGGCCCTGAAGAGCAAGAGCTCCAGAGCCGGCGGCTGGAACTGGAACGGCGCTGGCAGGAGGTGCAGAAGGCCGGCCAGGAGGTCGCCCGGCTGCACGACAAGGTGTGGCCCCGTCACGCGCCGGCGGCGGCGGTGCCCTGCCCAGCTATCTGACCTCCGAGCTCACCCAGCCGGCTCGCCTCCCGACACCCCCCCCCCCCATACCCCTTGCCTTTCAGCTGACCCCACTGCTCGCCTCCCGACTCCCCCTGCCTCCCAGCTCACCACGCCCGTTCGCCTCCCGACTCCCCCATCCCCTTGCCTTTCAGCTGATCCCGCCGCTCGCCTCCCGACTCCCCCTTGCCTCCCAGCTCATACTGCCTGCTCGCCTCCAGACTCCCTTATCCCCTGCCTCCCAGCTCACCACGCCCGCCCGCCTCCCGGCTCCCCATCCCCCTGCCCACCAGCACAGCCGTCCGGCCAGCCCTGGGCTGGTGGCCGCAGCCGACAAGGTGCCCATCCAGACAACTGGCGGCGGGGAGCTCAGCTTCGCCGACGCCTAGAGTCCACTGGTTGTGGCGTAGGAGCACCCCTCCGGGCGTATCAAAGACATCTGCATACTTGGTGTTGACTTGAAAAGCGAATGTTGTTTTTAACAGATGCTTCGTCAACGCAGGCTTGGAGAGGTATCATGTAATATTCCAGGGCCGGTCCCGTAGTCCAGTTGGTAGAGCGCCGTACATACCCTGCCAACGTTGTATAGTAGGCATGTGTGTCCGCCTGTGAGGCACCACACTCACGTGGCTCGTGTGTAACGGTCATTTGGCTAGTGTCTAAGCGAACCAGGCTGAAACTGGGGCAGCCGCGTCGCCGCCTGGCCTGGCATACTGCAGGCTGTTGGAGAAAATGTTTCGTTGCCCTGGCATGCGCTTCTGCCGTGGTGGGGTCAGGGTCCTCTCGACAGTCTCTGCTTAGTGACGGCTCTGATCCCAAAGTCATCCCCGGAAATGTTCGGGTAAAGGTTCTCAAAATTATACTGGATCTGCTCGGACGTATAACTGTTCAAAGTGCGGCAGATCTCGAGACGCTGCTAACGCAACATCCGCTCATATAGTGGCGAGTACAGTGGAGATCATTATCTGAACATGGAAGCGGCCGGCTATCCGTGGTCCCGGGCCGCCGGCTCGATGCACATCCTCACAGTCCAGGACTGTTCGTACTGCAGACTGCGTGACACCTCAGGACCTTGGCGACATTACTGACCACAGGCACAGGTCAAGCATGAGACACGAGACGCGTCCTCGCGCTCATGGTCTGAATGTCGCACGTGCCGGGAGCCGGCGTCACTAGCGACAATCAGATGAGACGACTGCTGACCGATGACCGGCGCTGCCCTGGTGACTAGTGGGGCGATCGTGGCCCCGTGCGCTCGAGACAGCCGGTGACTCACGAGCAGCGGTCGCCCGTTGCGTCGAGTGACCGACGAGGTGGCGAGTGGGGTCGTCCGCAGCGGCGCTGACGACTCCCGTCCCAGGCTCTGGTGTCTCACCCCACCGACACATGATGCCTGACCGCCGCGGCTGCGCCCTCACGCATGCCTGCCTGTGTGCACATACCATCTACTGTGCCTGGGTATGTCTGTATGTACATGCGGGTCTCGGTGCGCAAGCCAGTATGTGGGTGTGAGGGCGATTTCGTGAGTGAGCGGCACGACACGTACCCAAGAGCGGCTGCGTTCGCCCGTGTACAGCCTGGTTTTCCGCCTGCGCCGCCAGGTGACGCGTCAGTCGACGCCCCGGCGGCCCCCGACGGCGAGCGCGGCCTGCCAGACGGAGACGCCGGCGTCGGCCCCGGCGCCGGCCTCACCGGAGCGGCTGGCGGCCGCCGTGGCTGCCGAGCGGCGCGCCCTGAACACGGCGCTGCTGCAGGCCGAGCTGCGCATGCAGGAGGCCGGCCAGCAGGCGGCCGCCAGGGAGGCCGAGCTCAAGGTGACGTCACCGGCAACGCTCTGGCCGCACCAGGCCAGCGGGTGGCCAGGAGCACGCCTTTGGCAATGGTGGGCGGTGGAAAAGCGGCAGCAGCAATTTCCATGGGAGCTGGGTTCAGCGAGCAGTTTGTGGTTGCTCTCACTTCACCTGGAGAGTCGAGCAGCCGTCGGTGCGTCAGGTCGGCGTGGCACCGGTGGGAGGGTGGCGTGGCGCGGCGCCGTCTGACCGATGTCAGGCGCCGCCGCTGCGGAGGGCCCCGTCAGACGGGAGGGCAGGGACGGAGCTCCGTCCCCGGGAGAGCCGCGGCCAGGGTGTCACAGCGCGGCACGGGAGGCAGGGACACGAGCCTGCCGATGAAGTTATGGTGAGTACGCGGATGCAGAGATGATCTGTAGGCTGACCCAGTGCCGTGCCGGCGTGTTCTAGGAGCGTGGTTTAGCGTGGCTGCTCGCCTTGTACGAAGGGTCGCAACGATAATCGGGACTTTAGCTACGATTAATAGCGCATCGTTGACACAACTTATATGAGGTTGGGCGATCGAAGCGATAAAAGACATAAGAGTCACCAATTTGCATGATGTGGACGCTTTTAAAATCAAGCTTTTGGATTCGACACCGTGCCGACCCGCGCCGACGCGTCTGGAATCCGCCGATTTTTTGAGGGTTTAGCAGAGTTCCACTGACGGATCATTCGTGCTGTTTTACGAGTATCGTGGCTTGAAAATTGGCTGCCATGAGTCTAGCCGAGCTTGGCAATTTCAGCTAGCCAAAGTTCATGAACTTGCAATGACCAGGGTTTGGCAACCGCGGCCGAAAAGAACGCATTCATTCTGTAGAATGTTTGTGTCGGCGCAGTTTCCAGGTCAGTGAATATGGAAACGTAGCCGGTACAGTGGCCTGCCTGCCGTATGCAGTTGCTTCCAGGTGTTCATCTGCCCTGGTTGTTGAGATCTGACTTCGATCCTTAAAAACACCCCAAAACAGGTGGGCCGATGCTTTTCGCGCGGGAGTTCGTAACCGTCTGCAGGCATACATTTACACGCTTATCAGTCCGATTTTTCATCTTCGGCACTGGGGCGTTGAGGTGTGGGCCTGACTTTAGCCTCCGGTGTTTCTCAGTCCTTTTGTTAGCTGGAAAACTGCGTATTCCTTGTGAATCGAATGGGGAGATTAGATAGCGGTGATGATGGGACGTCGCAGGCTATCCCCGCCTGAACTGAGGGCTACGTGCAAACGTCAAGCGCTGCAACACCACAGCTACAAAGTAACTGCGCTTATTGTTTTTAAAACTGGTAATCCTGCGAAAAGTGGTTGAAAACGTTTCAAAAATCATGAAGGGCAGGACGGCCTGAATTGTCCCATAGTTCAAGAAACATCCCTCGTAATCAATGGTATGTTGTATTGCTTCAGCAGATTTTCTCATCTGTATTGCGTGCGAGTTGGCTGTGTGATATTTGCTGAGTGCTGCGTCGTGATATTTGCAGGCCTGTGTGAATGTGAATGACGCTGTAGCAATAGCAGCCTAGTCAAGCCGATGAGGCGGTGAGGATACGCCCTCGCACCCACACGTTCGCACCCACCCCACCCTCGTACCCAGCCCACCCTCGTACCCACGCGTTCGCACAGCGCCGGCTGCGTTAACGGTTGCGTCTGCTGCCATAGAAATCGTACGACGCCAAGGCGCGGACGCTGGAGGGCCGGCTTCGCCGACTGCAGTCGTCGTCGCCTCCGCGCGCCGACGCGGACCTGATGGCCGCCGTCCGACGGGTGGGTCCCGCCGGCGGTGCGCACGGCCCTCTTGGCCATACCGGCGCCGCGCTGCCCCCCCCCCCCCCCCCCCCGGCATTGTCTAGTGTCTGCTTGATTGTCCCAGTGTCCCCCTAGAGCGCTGAAATTGCCCGCCTGTGGCAACTGCGGGCGGGCAGAACAAACCTGCGTTTGATCTTGGCGTTTGGCCTGTATGATTTGAATGTCTTTGCTATCTAAATAACGATGCCCAGGTGTGCGACGCTATTTCGAAAGCTGCACTCGCATCTGTTGCGTCGTTACGGCACTGCGGCCGCCCACGTGCAGAGCCACCTGGTGGTGCGCTGGTGGCGCCGCGCCGCCTGACCGGAGCGCGGCGCGTCCGACCGGCAGCTGAAGGCGCAGCTGGCGGACCGCGACCGGCTGGTGACGCAGACGCGCCGCCAGCTGGAGAAGAGCCAGCGCACCGTCACAGGCCTGCAGCGCGAGCGTCAGAAGCTGCTGCTGGCTGCTGCCGCCCGCACGCCGGAGAAGACTCCTGGTGCGTGAGCCCGGCTGCGCCTGCTGCCGTTTGGTCGACGCTGAGACCGCCCCTGGCTGTTTTTGGCACTGATGTCACTTGTGAACCTGCCTCGTTGTCCTTGATCGTGTTCTTGGCAAATTGAGTGGTTCTTGGTATCGGTTTAATGCCTATAATCCCTGGACCTTGGGCGCAATATGACCTTTGATAAATATGTGTCCTAAAACCTAAGTCACCATCATCACCACGGATCAGTTTTTTAATGACTGTCCGTCCACCGTTCTGGATGAATGACCAAGCGAAGGTGGGTCGCACGGATAGGGTGGTTGCATATGCGTATGCATCAATCTTTTTCCATTTTGCCACCGACTGACGGCCACCAACGGACGCGTCTTGGCCCTCCCACTCGTCATTTTGAGCATAATGCCGCCACTCTTATAAGCGAAAGGGGTCAAAGCCGCCTAAAGACTTCGAAGCTCCGAAAATGTTGATCTGGACGGATGGCAGCGTGCCAAGACGCATCCAAAACTGCGGTCAAACAGCGCCTTCACCCGGCGCGGCGTGCCGAGCTGTGAACAGGCAGCCGTCCCAGCCGATCGCTGGCTGGACCACGCCCCACTCCCGCTGACTCCGCCTGCCGCGCCTGAGCCATGTGTGTCCCGTGCGGCAGGTGGGTCCCGCCAATCCAGCCCGGCCCGGGACCCACTCCTGCTGACTCGGCCCGCCGCGCCTGAGCCATGTGTGTCCCGTGCGGCAGGCGGGTCTCGCCGCTTCAGCCCGGCCCGGGACCCACTCCTGCTGACTCCGCCTGCCACGCTCGAGCCATGTGTGTCCCGTGCGGCAGGTGGGTCCCGCCACTCCAGCCCGGCCCGGGACCCACTCCTGCTGACTCCGCCCGCCGCGCCTGAGCCATGTGTGTCCCGTGCGGCAGGCGGGTCCCGCCGCTCCAGCCCGGCCCGGGAGCGGGCGCGCCGCGTGGACGACACCCTGCTGACCGAGCTGCAGATGGCCATCGCCGCCGTTGAGGGTACCTGTCGCGCGCGGCGCTGCTCACCGCGCACCGCACTGCCGCGTCCACCCGGCCTGCCGCGCTGGTGGCAATAGCCCGGTTTTGTTGCGTTGCGATCGGCTGCGTGTCCCATGATAGCAACCGTTTGCTACACTTGGATGATTTTGTTCGGATGCACTGCCTGGCGGGTCCGATATGTGTCCGGCGGCGCCAGCGCTGGCGCCAGCGCTGGCTGTCGGTGTGACGAGCCGCCGCCGTCCGCCGACAGAGGAGAACGTGCAGCTCAAGAGCCAGCTGGAACAGCTGACGGTGCACCGGGACGAGGAGGTGGCGCGGCGGGACGCCGAGATCACCGCGCTCAGGAACGAGCTGCGCGCAAAGGTGGGGACGCAAGGTCGGGAGGGATGGGAGGGGGCGGTTAGTGGGCAAAATGTCAGGGGAAGCTGGACAGCGACTCCAGCGGCTCAAACAGAAGGCTCTGGAGAAGGTGAGACCGTGGGCTCCGGTGCCGGGCTGGAACAGCTGGTCGGGAGCTTTGTAATCGATCGTGAGGTCCGTGACATCGATAAGGATATCAGGACGGGGGATACCAGGGGACAGGGGAACCGGTGGAGGTGACGCAGGCGGCTAGCTGGGCGGGTCGTCGTCGGAGACCGTGACGGCCCGTCCCTGTGTGCGCCAGCTGGCGGACTGCCGACCGGCGCAGGAACACCCTGAGGAGCACCAGCAGATGATGTCGGCCCGCAGCGACTCCCTGCTGCTGGAGGTTCGCTCCCAGATGGAGGCGCAGGAGGGCGTCATTAACCACCTGCGCGAGACCATCAGGAGGTGGGCGACGCTCGTCTTGGACTCTGCCTCGGGCCTCAGCCTTTCCTGGGCTGCTTTTGTGGCGCACCCGCTGTGCTACGCGTAATCTATACAGCTCTATGCGCAGGCGCATTAGTAATTCGTAAGGTGGAGACCGCTCTGACCAAGAAGGTATCACTGCATGCTTAATGCTGTATTGATGGATTTGGTGTGGCATAAATTCAAGTGACGCGTTCACTGAGAGACGGCAGAAACAGTCATTCGCATCAGATTTTTGCTTGATCGCCTTCCGTCTTCTTGAAGTCTGGTCACCAAACGTGCTGCCACCGAAGGATGCAGTTATCTGTTCTTTTTTTTGCACTGTCTGTATTGGGTTTCGTTGGAGACCAGAGATTTCAACGTGAGCGCCGTAAGTGAGCGCAGTACCGGTGGGACAGGTTCCAGGAGCAGACGCGGCTGATCGCTGAGGTGGAGGGCGAGAACCAGACACTGCGAGAGACGGTCGAGTCGCTCCACTGGCAGCTGGCTAAACAGAAACACCGGCAGAACCCGGTCAGCGCCCGACCGCCCTGCCCTCTGACCTGCTGACGGCACCCCAGTGTCGGCCTACCCTCCCTCTGACCTGCTGACGGTACTTCAGTGTCGGCTTACCCCTCCCTCTAATGTGCTGACGATACCTCCGTGTCGGCTTACCCCTCCCTCTGACCTGCTGACGGTATCCCAGTGTCGACTTACCACTCCCTCTGTTGTGCTGATGGTACCCCAATGTCGACTTATCCCTCCATCTGGCCTGCTGGCGGTACCCCAGTATCGGCTTACCCCTCCTGACCTGCTGACGGTACCCCAGTGTCGATTTACCCCTCCTTTTGTTGTGCTGATGGTACCCCAGTGTCGACTTACCCCTGCCTTCTGACCTGCCGACGGTACCCCAGTGTCGAGTTACTCCTCCCTCTGTCGTGCTGACGGTACCCCAATGTCGACTGATCCCCCCCTCCGACCTGCCGACGGTACCCCAGTGTCGATTTACCCCTCCTTCTTTTGTGCTGATGGTACCCCAGTGTCGACTTACCCCTGCCTTCTGACCTGCTGACGGTATCCCAGTGTCGGCGTACCACTCATTCTGACCTACTGACGGTACCCCAATGTCACTTACCGCTCCCTCTGGCCTGCTGACGGCACCCCAGTGTCGATTTGCCCCTCCCTCTGACGTGCTCACGGTACCCTAGTGTCGGCTGATCCTCGAGTATTTTCTGCAACAGGAATGTGTCCAACTCGTCTTCAGAGAGACCGGCCAGAGAGGTGTACCAAATGAAGGGAATGAAGGGATATATCGGGAGATGCTTTACCTGGAGGCTTTGTCATTTCAAGAGACCGTTTGTGAATTATATATATATATATATATATATATATATATATATATAACGTTGCTGGAGATAAAAAAACATGCGACAGAATCAATCATTACAGCAAGTAGCATGTCTGAACACTAGGCGAAACGCCGCTCAGGGTGTCACTTGCTGCCGTACGGCATCATGATGCTACTAGCTTTAGGGCTTTTTCATAAAGAAATACAACACACACAAGGGGGAATTCCCATTTTAGTGAGCATAGCACGCTTCTAAACCACCCTTTAAGGTTTGCATCAAACACGCCCAAACATTTTCTGGCAGGAATGATTTATTACTTCTGGCTTTATTTTAGATTGGAGCCCTTTTTGGATAGCAATGGCCATGTCAGAGCTATGCGATGAGGGAGATTTAGGGTGGTGGAGCAAGACCGAATGCATCCAGCCGCTACCGAAACTTACCGCACTCAGGGACCTCTCTTCGGGGTGTGTGCGTGCGCTTGGACGGGGCTCCCGCCAGTGAGGGATACTACTGGATAACTGGGGAGCTGCGAGAACTCAGGATGAATCGTGTGCGAGGAAGGAAGTGCGGATATGCCACCTTACAGACCCAAATGCAATTCGCTCCGGGTCGACAAGGATCCGGGAGGATCCGGGAGGTCATGTGGCCGGCCTCATATTGCCTTTGTCGTAATCTTTGTCCGGTTTAGTCCACTGTAGAACTCTTGTCAGATGAATATGAGTGGGCTCATGGCTGCATGTGTTTCCCAGGATAACACCCAGATACGCTGCATCGAATCTAAGCTGGACGAGATCGACCGGCAGTATCGGCGGCGCGCTTCCCACCTGCAGGCCATCTTGCAGCAGCTGGAGCAGTGCAGCCTCTCGTCCCGCTCCATAGATGACACTAGTTGGACCTAGCGTCGCAGGCGCCCGCCAGCGGCGGGCGGCGCACCGCCGCGCGCTGCAGGAAGCTGCCGCACGTCAGCGCGGAATGTCGACTGACGGGTCCGAGCTGTCGCCCGCCGTAGTGTGTCGACAGGGATGTCACCATTGTGCCGCGTCATGGTGGCTGGCGAACGACTACGCTTCCCACGACTCGGCACTGTCGGCCGACCGCCACCGCGCCGTCCCGTACAAAATCGCCCGCCGCTCGGCAGAGATGTGTTGATTATGATGCTCCAGCCGTCGGCCGGGCTTGATGATTGCTGTTAAATATACGTCGTCGATGTGAGTGTGCGGTCGTGCACGTGGGAGGCGGGCGCGCGGCCGCTGGTCGAAGAGGCGCCCGCGCCGTGCTGCAAGCAGAGCGCGCCGCTGGTTATGGCGGCGCTTCCGCGCCCGGCCCGCACTGGGTGGCCACTAAATAACACCACTTCCGTCGGCCGCACGGTGTGGAACGCAAGCTTGAAAGGCGTACGCCGTCGCTTATCTGATTCGCACAGCGGGGGCGCTCTCGCTAATGGTTGCCAATAAGAAATGTCCGGCATAAATATGTAAGTGCTGGCCGGGATTGTTCTAAATTTGCACAGCGGCTCATATCCGTTACTTACAACTTCCTTTCCCATCGTCCATTTTCTGGCCGTGCAGTCTGTGCCGGTCAGAGACCAGCGACTGTCTACACTCACCAGACGCAGCAATGGTCCGCTGTGTTGGAAATATCTCTGTCTGAGTTGGGCGGTGTGTGTAAGATTGCTCACAAAGCCGAGGCGATCTTAATACCCAAGCGTAGTGATCTGACGCTGAAGATGACTGATCTTCACTACACCGGAGATACTGAGCGTCAAGCTGAGCATTCCTGCACTGCTTTGACGCAACTATCGAGCGATGATTTGTGTATCTTATTAAGATTGTGTTATATCACGATGTGTCCACAAAATCGTAATGCGGTCAAAAGGCGTTTATTCGTTTAACCAGTAACCCCTAATAAATCGCAGGCCGCAAAAGCAGAATACTTCATAATGCCAAACTGCTTTTTTGCTCACATTCCGAACCGAACCACATCGAACGTCGAGTGCTTACGATGCTTGACGAGATTTTGTGAGATCGCCTGCTGCAGGTCATTCCGGTCATGGATGCGACCTTGTAAAGCGGCTGGAAACCACCCCGCCACGGGTGGTAAGTCGCAAGGTAGGTGCGCCAGTCAGCAGAGATATCAGGACGGACTGGGTCTTCAAGAGCTTTTCTTTCCACGGGAAGTATGCGGTGCTGACGGCGAGCATCGTGAGGCGGTTGATGGAGACTATGCTCAGATTTCCATTCTGGCAGCGTGTCGTCATGCCCGATCCTGTTATAGATAGCAGTTATTGCCTCTTCCACGGGCAGCTTAGTAAAAACGCCGATGACGTCAACCCGGCCACAACGTCGGTCTGGCACAGGTTCTACCCACTACCGTTTGCGGCGAGGGTTGAATAATTGCCGGCGTCATGATCGGATTTCTCTAAGGTAGCAAGCTCCTTATTTGCGGTTCATTCCGATTCCGGTAAAGGGGGTTCCGGTTCGTTCGCGATCGCACGGCCCGTGGGGAACTCCGATATCTTCCAATTTGGGTGCTCCGTGGGCGCTTGATGCTGAATCTCGAGACTCAGCGCACCGCAGCCCCTCATCTCCCTGTACATTTCACGAAATGTTGGCGGACGTGGCAGCAATGTTGTTCAACTACATCGTCTTGGATCTACTGGATGATGCAGTCATGATGCTCTTTTTCGGATGGTTTATTGGATACCCCGACTAGAGCGTCAATTTAAAGCACAAAACGCGACTACTAACTGTGATCCTCGAGAACTCAGCCGAGCTTTAAAATGTAGCTGCTTGCAATCGCCGCACCCGAGTGTTTTAGCGAGATGAGCTTGGCGTATGCCCTTTCTCGTGCGTATCATACTAGCATCATTTCAGTTTGATTTCGTTCCCCGGATCCGAGCAGTATTGTATCAGAGCTGCAGGCGGGCGCTCCCCTCCGGTGGTAGATGTCGCTCCCTTCCCGTTCCCAAAATGCATACTGTATGTTGCGCGCCTCAAATAAACGCAAATCAAATGATGTTGGGCGAGACCGTCCTCAGAACTTCCCTCGAAATAAGCAGCTGCCGGTCTGCCCGAGTTTCCATACCTCTTCGTGAGGGGCCTTTTGGCTTCCTTGCACCCCGATCGAGCTTGGGCAGGATGACGCCGCCTCAGCATTGCTTTTGGCCAGAGTCTGCAAACTAATTCGACCCGCATTTTTAAGTTTTTCTCGGTACATTCCTCAGCGTCAGACAAGCCGAACATGATGACAGCTCATAACATTCTGTCGCCGCTAAAATCTACTTATCTGGACAATATGATTCTTAAAGGGATTACTATTCAACCAACATAAAACGAAAACAGAACAATGGCATTGTAAAATGGCTTAGGCAAAAATGTCAACAAATGGTGATGAAATGTTGAAGATTTCTGTTAAGCCTGGTATTTGACGGCCTCCACTCGGCGGCAAAAAACAGAAAGATGTCGGAGTAGATAATGCATCCGCTGCTAGCATATTAATCACAGTTGCATCCATATGAAACATCCGTGCAAAAAAACTACATTCGCGTGGCGACTTTGTGGACTTTGGCCTGGAACAATTGAGAAAAATTAGACGTCAAAACTATGTATGACAGCATTTACCACCGGGGCCTTTGAGATCCAATTCCCGGTAACTTCGAGCACCTTCGGGAACCGACGTTATTGGAAAAGTGGAGTTGTCATGTTTGGACCATATCAAAGGGAATGTTTCACTTTCGAAGATGTTGGAGCAAGCATCAGATATGATGAAACAAGCGCACTTTATTACTGTTGGTGTACTTGTAAGTGGAAAGGACTGTTCAAGAAAACACAATTTCTCTGTGTAGTAAATATGCTCCTCAATACGTCATGGTTTGGTCACGTCATCGTACCTTACGCAACATTGATTGAGGGCCAACTGACGGCCGCCATATCTGCAAATGGTGCTCAAGAAGGCCATATATGAACGTCGCGACCCTAATATATTCCTTGACCTTGCTCGCGACACGTTTTATGGAACGGCAATATTTAAATGCCGTTATTATGACGTCATGAATGCTAAACCGAGCTAGAAATACTTTTCCCGAAATGCTCTCTTTTTTCGCGGGCGCGTAGCTCAGAAATTAGAGGGATTTAGGTCCCAAGAAGAGCGGGGCTGTGAACTGTACCGAAAGGTCCTCAAAGGCCCATGCAGATGCGGAACACTTCCTTTAAATACAACCAGAACAATTGATTGTACCCCAGTGATTTGAAACGCGCAGCTATTACAAGCTAACCCTGCATGGAAAGAATGATAAGAGACAATTTCATAATGACAAGGAGGTGAATGAAAAGGGGTATTCAAGTTGTTCAACCCCATAGCTGGACGAGATTCCTCGGCTTCGACCATTAAGTACAAACTTTATGCATCACGCATCATGAACGATAGTTACCCTTGCATACCTTTGTTGTTTGCTGTTTTATGTGTGGAACTTACTCCATTAGACTTTGCTACTCTGTTGGTCCAAATGTTGTATAGCTGCTTCTTCTCATGATACTGCGCGCATCAGAGACGTGATATTTAAAACTCACGTGCTCAAGATGGCATGTGATGACCGTAGTCCTGAAACACCAATGACTATGATCATCATGATCAAGCCCCCAAATTCAATCGCCTACTTCCGGCCCGCTTTCCGTTCAAGGAAATGCTCCATCTTTGAACATATGTGGCGAGCATCAGATATAATGGAAAAGTTGACTTGTAACTATTTGTATACTTTTGAATGAAAGTGACTACTCTAGATAACACAGTTTCACCATCTAATAGATACGGTCCTCAATACGTCATCGTTTGATTGCGTCATGTCACGCTTTTATGACGTCAGAGTCGCTGCAAGACTGGTCGTGTGAGAACTGCCACTGTAGCGGACGGCCTGGCTCCCTTGTAGTACTCCAACTTGCCGTAAGGTGGCTTGTTAATTTAGGCACGAGCGATAGACCCGAGGACCGTTATGTGTCGCGTGTTTTGACCCCTACTCGTAGTGTTCTTGTATATTTGTTCGTGATGTTAAACGTTTAACCTGCGTTTGTATTCCGGCTCCGGTGCTACTCTTCAGTTATTTGATTCTCAGCCGCATGTCCACCATAGCTGGTGGGACTGCCCAGGTGTCTGTATGGTGTATCACAAAATGTGGTTTGTGACCGATACCTGCATTTAGCGTTTTAAGGTGGGTGAAAGCCAACTGCTATCAGTTGATGTGATTATTCGTGCCTTCGCTTTCCAGAGACCAAGAATAACTTCATCATCCTGACTTTGAACACAGTATAACCACTGAAGAGGCAGAATTCGTCTGACATCTCTATGGCGCACATCTCTGGTTGCTTTTGAAATTGGCGACACGCAAGTCAGCACAACGTAGTACGCATCTAGCACAGCAACGAGAAGAGGCGATGTCTTAAAGGGCATAATTTTGAGCAACATGATTTCGAATATGTGCTTCTCATTTCAGATCCCATGAAAACGTGAAACAATATCCTTTAGTATCAGGATTAAACTCATATTCCTGGTAGGTTAATTCATTTTTACCGAACAGGACGACCCGATAAAAGTAAACAGACACGAGTACCTGGTAGGTAACCACAGCATGAACAATACACCAAGCTCATGTTAAGATTGCTAAAGCACCAAACTATAAAAACATCATTGTAGCAAGTGTACACCAATTTTAGTTGACACAATTAAGCACGGCCTCAACCAAATGATCAACATGCAAGAAATCCTGCTCACTTTCTACTTACTTCTCACTCACTTACATACTTACTGAATAAAAATATAGATAAACTAATAAAAAGTAATGAACTCATTTGCTACTATACACACCTACTATCCGTCTTCCCCTTACTTATCTACCCGTTATCAGCGTTTGTCGCGACAAACGCAATCACCATTGGCACATGCAGCTTACCGTGCACAAGCGCACCTGATGAACACACACGTTATCACATGCACACATTGGCAAAGAAACGCACCACGGTAGCCGCATGCCATGAGTGCTTAAGCTCCCCAAACCTCCAGCCGACATGCACGGTGTGGTCAGCCAGGTCGTTACCCTTAGGCAAGGCTAGAAGCTGACTGATTTAGGCTGGGTCAGGTCAGTGACGGCGGCGACGACTGCCGTGATTCACAGGTTCAACAATGACCGGCGCCAGCGTCCGAGCACGCTG